GCTGATAGGAAGGCCAGAGAACACATAAAAACTGTGTAGCAAGGTCGTTGTCTGGTGGCTGAGTATACAGAGGAGTTTAGAGACCTGGCATGCTGTCTCAACTGGTTGGAGGACATCCTAGTGGGTCATTTCAAAGATGGGCTGAACAATAACCTGTACCACACGTGCATCGCCAGGGGAGACCCAAACCACTTCCATGATTGGTGTATCCTGGCTGAGGAAGCCGAAATCGACCAAGCCCGGTCAGCAATGCCTGGGGTGAACCTGGAGATGCTCGCCCCTGGGGGAAAACAAGAGGCAGCAACCCACCCACCCCCCCACAGCTCTGCACTCAACAGCTTGCTTCAAGTGTAGTAAGGAGGGGCACCGGGCTGCAGAATGCCGTTCGAAAGCCCCTATGTGAAAACCTGACTGAGCAGGTGGAGGGAAGCCCAGGAAAATGCTGAAACAGCCCAGGGAGACCACCATGAAAAGTGCTGAGGTCATTGAGGTCCAAAATCCCGGGGGAAGGAACTCTGGCCCCAACTGAAAAACCACCCGACTCTCATGACAGCGACTCGGTAAGTGGATCCATTGAATCCCTCACCAGAACATAGAACCGTTGTCCAGGGAAAGGTGACCCTGAGGGCCCTACTGGACTCAGGTTGCACCCGTTGCCTAATAAGCCCAACCTTGGTGGGGATCCTAGGAATTTTGGTGAGGAGGTTGAAGAAACCAATTTTATTTGGACAATTAGATGGGTCCATCTCAGGAGCGATCCCAGCCACTCTTGCCACACAGCCTATCCAGCTCACAATGGGGGATCACACAGAGACTTTGACATTTATAGTAACCCCTGGCATGGAGTGGCCCCTAATATTGGGAATGACGTGGTTGAGGAAGTGGAACCCAAGGGTGGACTGGAGGACCGGAGAGGTTCCCTAAAGAGAGACCCACAGTACGGGGAGGGGGGGAGATCACAGGACGAAGAGAAAAGGAGGTGGTAGCAACTACAAAAGACCGGAGCTTGGAGACTGTGCCTGAGGAATACCAAGATTTAGCTGAGGTGTTCAGCGAGGAGCGGTCTGATGAACTACCCCCCCCCCCAATCGCTCGACTGACTGTGCCATTGAGATTGTACTGGGGCCAAACTACCTAAACCAAAAATTTACTCAATGACTCCATGGGAGCTGGAAGAACTATAGAAATTCATAGAGAAAAATTTGGCACGAGGTTTCATACAGCTGGCAAGACCAAAAATAGAGGCCCCGGTTTTATTCTGAGAAAAAAAAAAGAGGGATCGCTTTGCCTCTGCGTAGACTACAGGTCTTTAAACACAGTGTGTGAGAACAATATTTATCCCTACCACTAATGAAGGACGTGTTAGCCCACCTAGCCAAAGGAAAAATATTCTCAAAACTGGACCTACAAGAGGCATATTACCGGGTTAGGATTAAGGAAGGAGATGAATGTTTTAATATTTTATAGATTGTATTTTTTTTTCTTCTCTTTCCTTATATTTTTTATTTTTATCTCATCTTATTTTACTTCTTTTTTATATATATATATCTTTTCTTCTTTCTTTTCTCTTTTATTCTCTTTCTTTTTAAGTAATTTTTTTTCTCTTTTTTTAATACCTATGTTTTGTTTTGTTTTTTCATATATATTATTGTTAATTATCTTATAAGTTTAGTTAATGTATTTAGATATATTAATGGTTTATATTTTTTTAATTTTTTAAAAGATTTTTAGAAATTTTAATCAAGACTATATTCAGCTCTGGGAAGGTAGGGGGGATGGACTGGGAGGGTTGGGGTGGTTGGGTAGGGTTGTTTTTTGTTTTTTAATTTTTTTTTCTTTTCTCCTTATTCGTAAAAACTTTTAAAATTTTTCAATTAAAAAAAAAAGGAAGGAGATGAATGGAAAAAAGCATTCAACTGCCTCATGGGGTGGTTCCAATTTAAGGTACTCCCATTTGGACTGCAGGAAACGCCAGCAGTATTCATGCAACTAATCCATGAGGTGCTCCAGGAGCACCTCTACAAGGGGGTTCTTGTGTATTTGGATGACATCTTAATCTTTACCAAAACAAAGGAGGAGCATGTAAAGTTAGTCAGCATGGTACTAAATAGATTAAGGGCCACCTGACTCTATGCCAAGCTGTCAAAAAAAATTGACTGTCAGGAAAAAATTGACTATTTGGGGTATTGCATATTTCATAATGGGATAGAGATGGATTCAGAGAAAGTCAAGGCAGTGCTGGAATGGGCACTGCTGCGCACGAGGAGGCAATTGCAAAGTTTCCTGGGGTTCACTAATTTCTACCATCAGTTCATCCCTTCCTTTGCACAGATCACCTCCCCATTATCAATTTACTAAAATCGAAAGGGGAGGGTAAACCAACCATTGAAATGGACTATGGAATGTCACACTGCATTTGAGAAATTAAAAAGACTTTTCTCAGCTGACCCAGTCCTAAAATACTTAAACACAGAAAAACCTTTTGTTATACAGGCAGACGCTAGCGACATAGCAGTAGGAACAGTGCTGTTCCAAGAAAACCAAGAGGGCCAGCTACAAGGCTGTGCCAATACATCCAAGAAACTCACCGAAACAGAACAGAGGTGGGCAGTGTGGGAGAAGGAAGCCTATGCGGTGGGCTGGGCTTTCCTTATTTGGAGGCATTTCTTGGAAGGGAATAAAATCCCCTTCCAGGTATGAACTGATCATAAAAACATTGAAGCCTTTAAAAAACCCCAAGGAAACTGTCACTGAAACAAGTGAGGTGGTCCCAACATTTCCACTGGTTTAACTTCACTATTAAATACATACCTGGGGGGAAGAATTTCCTAGCCAACGCTTTATCAAGACTACCACAGTATAATAGTATAAAAACAGAAGTGGTGAATCCTCTTATGCCATCTAAACAGTTAGTGGCTCCAGTAATCACAAGGTTGCAGGCAAAGAAATCAAAACCCATAGATAGTGCAGCCAGAACAGAGTTCAGACAGAACCCTCCTGGGTTCTGCCCAGGCTTTTCATTTAGTCATCATCCACAAACGAATGGTGGGAAGAACGTTCGAACTCAGTATTGGAACAATATTTAAGATGTTTTATTAATTATCAACAGGACAATTGGACCGACCTACTTCCTTTCACAGAAGTGGCTTACAACAATGCTAAGCTGTTTAAAGTCAGGGGAAAAGTATACTTATCCACAAAGTATTTAAAATCTCTACAGCCATCGAAGAAATTAGTGTCAAAATTCATGGGACCATTCCCCATTAAAAGGGCCCAAAAACATTAAGAGAGGTTCACCCGGTATTTCATTGTAGCTTATTAAAATGTTAATTGAGTTATGGTTCCCTCTCCTCCATCTATTATGGTGGAGGGAGAACAGCACTTTGAAGTCAAGGAGATCCTGGGTTCCAGGAAACACCATGGATCAACACAATACCTAATAGCTTGGAAAGATCTCTCCTCTTCCCAGAATGAATGGGTGCACAAAAGATATGTCAGGGGTCCTAGGTTGTTAAAAAATTTTCATGCCCAGTATCCTGATAAACCCAACTAAACTGTATGTAGTTTTCTCTCCCTGTTATTATTTTCTTTCTCTCCAGGCGGATCTCTCATTTTTAAGGGGGGCAGCATGTCAGAACCCTGTCCTTCTATGGGCATGGGGTTTCTTGTTCTTTTCAGGTTCTGCCATTCTCCTGGGGGGGAGGAGGAAGCTTGGGGTTGCTGGTGTGTATTTCCTTTTGCTTTGTTCCTTGCTCTATCCTCTTTGATGTTTCTCTATTGGGGCGAGAATGGAATGTGCCTCCGGCCATCTGCCTTATCTCTGGCGTGGAAGAAGTGGCGCAGAGAGACTTAACAGCCTTGGAAGCGGCACCTTATCGCCCCATTCCCACAGCATTTTCACATCTGCGGATTGACCTGTTTGAACCATTGGGATGGACAGTTGGGGTGGGGTTACTCTTGATTCTTTTGACCTATTGATTCATGCAGGAAACCCTCAGATCCTGCCTTCTATTCCTGCTGTCAACATCTCCCAATAAAAGTTCCCTTTGAAATGATGTCCATTTCAAGAGTTCTGCTTTCTTGGGAGGACTGATTGAGGCAGGTCCTTAAACACTGTGTGTGTGTGTGTGTGTTTGTATGTGTGCGTGTGATGGATAAGATTCAGAGAACAAGATGACTTTGGCATTATTGTATTCCTGTTAACATAGATAATTCAGACAAATGGACTATATCAAATAGCGTATAACAACACTAGATGCACCTGAAAAGAATCCTCATTATTTACCATGTAGATTTAAAATGGAAGGGTTACTTTAGATTCTCTTAAAATATGGTAATGGAGGCAGAGTGTCAGGATTTTCTTCCTGTCTGGTAAATGTGTAAGGTGTAAATGGTGTAAGAAGGCACCCCCTCCCCCCAAAATTTACGCTTCAAAAAGAATTAACAATGGCACTTTCAAACTGCCACTCACCCATTGCAAAGTCTCTACTGTCTTGCTCGATATCCAAAGTAGGTTCTTCACTCTGCCAAAATAAACTGTTCCCTGTGGTCTGCCTGCTCAACATATTCATTATAAGCAAATAAATCTGTTCCAATTGGCTACTGGTTACTGTGATAGAAACACCCTATCTCCTCCAGGCAATAGTCACAATACTCCACAGCCATTTCATCCTGAATTACTAGGTTGTTGGTTTTCCTATGATAGGTTGTTAAAATACTGAATTTTTTTTATTAGTTCACTAGAGAACCATTGGTTTTTTAAAACAAAAAAACACAGGTGGATATTTTTTTTCCTTCCTCCCATTAGGTAAAACTGAATTTTGCAAGTTTCCTTTCTAACCTGACAGAATGGAATATAAAACTGTTGATTGTATGTGTATTTTTACTATTGATCAACCGATAGATGTGCCAAATGGAAAGTGTCAAGTGAAAGGAAATGGAAGATCATACAAACGGTATATCAATGAATACTTACTCAAAGATGAATACCCAAAACTTACCTGATCTGAGGTACTGGATTTCCAGCAACCCTGCACTGAAGTAGAACCTTGCTTCCCTCAACAATTTCTTGACTCCTCAGTTTATGGATAAATCGAGGGGGAGATAACTGATTCTGACTTTCTCTTGCAACTTCATTTTGAGAGACAGTCTCACCCATCTGAGACCCTTCTTTTCTTTGGAGCACACATTCTTTAACCTGAGTGACTTCTGGGATCTCATTTTTTAGTGTGATTTCTAAACTTGTTTCAAGTACTGAATTCCTTAAAGAATTTGACAAAGCTAATTGCTTGCTCTTAGGAGAAAGATATCCACTATCAGGAAATGAAGAATTTCCATTTGGACTCTCAACTCTCATCTTGGCTGCTTCATGAAAAATAGAAGACAGTTCTTCAATCAAAGTGGAAGCTTTATCACATAGCTTATTCTTCAAGGGTAAATTACTTGCCAAAATTGATTTAGATTTAGGGTTCCCCTTTGGGGTATTTAAACTATGCCTTTTAGCATTTTTGAGACTTCGGATAAAGCTGGGTCTTGCAGGCAGCAGGGGAAAAGCACTTGCTTGTTTACCAGTAACATTTAAAATATCACTTTTTCCATGAGGATATGCATTCTGACCCTGCTGGTCTGTGGGAGTTTGAGATGAAAGCCACAAGGAGGTGGAGCTGGTTGCGCAATTTCTCTTGGAAGGATAACTGTCATGTGCTTTGGCTTGCCCAGAAGAAGCATTTTCTGGTGAGTGTGAAGAAGTGTTCAAGTATGGGTACTCTTGCTTTTCTTCAACAGAATTAATGGATTGATGAGCAAGTTCAAGGCTTTTGTTTATCTCATCTTGACTAAGAAAGGCAGATAATTCATTTGAAAAGTCCGCATCTTGTATATCTGATAGGGAATCATAAAAGAGTTCATAACGTAATGAATCCTCAGAATTGTTTTCATAGTTTCCAACATAAGGGCTTTTTTCAAAACGATGAGGCTCTTTCATAATTACAGAGAGAGGGACAGGCTGCTCACAACTTCTGTCCTGCATGCTGGAACAACAACAACAACAAAATCTTATCTCAGAAAGACCTGGGATTTTATCTAATTTGTATCCTTTCCTAATCTACTGTAGCACTGTCAATAAAGCAAAGAAAAAAAATAAAGCATAGGTGAATGTCCCTTGTTTTTTTATTTCATTAAAGTATGTCCTACTTGTGCTGGCAGAGAGAGCTTACTTTGGATCCCATTAGTCAAAGAACTCTGTCTGTCAGGATCCAGAAGAACTGCAGCAACTGCCTTTTGGAACATTTTACTCTCTAAGGTAAGATCTACCCTCACCCTCCTAAATACCTGGCTCAGCCAGTTGGTCTGGAAACCAAATGCGGAAGTTGCATGCTGTTGGATTGATGGCAGACTCCCCCCCCCCTTGGTCTCTACTCTCCACCGGTCCATCTTTTTGTTATCACATTGATGTATTCTTGTGCTCTTTTTCATTTTTCATTTTATTGTTCTATTATCTTACTTCTGTTTTGCTTACACTCTTTTTATTTCTTCCTTTCTATTATGTAAGCTGCCTGGAATAGCCCCATGGTAAGATAGACAGCAAAAAAATGTATATATCTTTGGCTACCAAAGTGTTAATTGTAACTTCTGCATAGTTGGAATGAACTTCAGATGTTTTATATAAAACTAAATATCTCCTGTATTACTAAGATTGATTCTACCATTAAGCATGGTCAAGCACCTCTTTCCTATGATTATTCTGCTAGTCTACTTATCCATTCCCTTCTGTTGGAGGGCCTAGCCTTTTCTGATAATCTAAACCAGTGGCCCCTAACCTTTGGGGCACCAGGGTCTGGTTCTGTAGAGAGAGGTTTTTCCACAGATTGGAAGGGGCATGGTTTCACATGCTGCCTGCATCCTGCAGATGGAGCTTTGTTTGTTTGCGGCCCCATTTCTGGCCCCGACTAGGTGGTTCCGCCCCAGGCGCCTAATGGACCCAGATCGGTTCCAGGAGGAGCTTGGGGAAATACCTGACTCCCTTGTCCACAACTCCTCCGGGTCCCTGGTTGCGGCCTGGAATGAGGCGGCGTCCGGGGCCCTGGATCGAATTGCGCCCTTGCGACCTCTCTGTGGTGGTGGTCCCCGGAGGGTGCCTTGGTTTACTGAGGAGCTCCGGGAGATGAAGCGCCACAAGAGATGTCTAGAGCGACGTTGGAGGGCCAGTAACTCTGAATCTGACCGATCACTATTAAGAACCTATCTTAGGACTTATTTAGTAGCAATAAGGGCGGCAAAGCGTGTTCACTTTTCCGCACTTATTACATCCGCAGAATCTCGCCTGGCCACCTTGTTTAGGGTGACCCGCTCCCTTCTTAAAGTGGAGGAGGTGGAGGAACCCTTGCAGGGGAGAGCTGAGGAGTTTGTTCAGTTTCTTTCGGACAAAATCGCTCAGATTCAGAGAGACCTGGACTCCGACTGGGCAGTGCCAGCCGAGTTGCTGGGGGCTGGTCTTAGTCAGGTTATCTGGAGTGAGTTTGAGCCTGTGACCCATGATGAAGTGGACAAGGCCGTGAGGGCAATGAATGCCGCCACCTGTTTATTGGACCCGTGCCCCTCCTGGCTGGTTTCTGCCAGTAGGGAGGTAACACGAGGCTGGCTCCAGGCGATAATCAATGCCTCCTTGATGAAGGGGTCTTTCCCGCAACCTTTAAAGGAAGCCTTCCCTGGACCCAGCTGTTTTGAAGAACTTTCGTCCTGTCTCCAACCTCCCCTTTGTGGGGAAGGTTGTAGAGAAGGTGGTGGCGTCCCAACTCTTGCGATCCTTGGATGAAACTAATTATCTGGACCCTTTTCAATCTGGTTTCAGGCCCGGCTACAGCACTGAGACTGCTTTGGTCGCACTGACCAATGACCTCTGGCGAGCCCGGGATAGGGGTCATTCCTCTATCCTGGTGCTTCTTGACCTCTCAGTGGCTTTCGATACCATCGACCATGGTATCCTTCTGCGTCGTCTCGGAGAGGTGGGGGTGGGCGGCACCGTATTACGGTGGTTCTCCTCCTACCTCTCTGACAGGTTGCAGTCGGTGTTGGCAGGCGGACAGAGATCAACTCCTAGGCGCCTCGATCATGGGGTGCCTCAGGGCTCGGTCCTGTCCCCCCTCCTTTTTAACATCTACATGAAACCGCTGGGTGAGATCATTCGGTGACACGGGGTGAGGTATCATCAGTACGCGGATGATACCCAATTGTATATCTCCACCCCGTGTCCTTTCAGTGAAGCAGTCAACGTGATGTGCCGGTGCCTGGAAGATGTGAGGGTCTGGATGGGGGTGAACAGGCTTAGACTCAACCCTGACAAGACCGAGTGGCTCTGGGTCTTGCCTCCCAAAGGTCAACTGGATGGTCCATCATTAGTCCTGGGGGGGGGCAAATTTACCTCCCTCAGTGCAGGCACGCAACTTGGGTGTCCTCCTGGACTCACAGCTAAATTTGGAACAACATCTATTGGCTGTGGCCAGGGGGACCTTTGCCCAGGTTCACCTGGTGCACCAGTTGCGGCCTTATTTGGACCGGGAGGCTTTACTCATGGTCACTCATGCCCTTGTCACCTCAAAACCCTGGATTACTGTAACGCGCTCTATATGGGGCTACCCTTGAAGAGCGTTCAGAGGCTGCAGTTGGTTCAGAATGCAGCCACGAGAGCGATTGTGGGAGCGTCAAGGTACGCCCACGTGTCACCTATCCTCCACGAGCTGCACTGGCTTCCTGTGGGTCTCCGGACGCAATTCAAGGTGTTGGTTATCACCTTTAAAGCCCTTCATGGCATAGGGCCAGGTTACTTACAGGACCGCATACTGCTGCACAGTTCCCAGAGACCGGTGAGGTCCCATAGATTGGGCCTCCTTCAGGTCCCGTCGGCCAGACAATGCCAGCTGGCGGGCCCTCGGGGAAGGGCCTTTTCTGTGGTGGCTCCAACCTGGTGGAATCAACTTCCCCCCAAGGTTCGAACTACTCCCACCCTGCCAGCCTTTAAGAAAGCCATTAAAACTCTCCTGTTCCGGCAGGCCTGGGGCTGATGTCCCCGGGGGGGGCGGGATATGATCGGACACGCTGTATGAATGTATTTATTTTATTGTTTTATTGTCAGATTATTGTTTTAATTTTGTACGCCGCCCTGAGTCCCTTGGATTGGGCGGCATATAAATTTTAGAAATAAATAAATAAATGTCGTGGCTTGGTGCCGGTTCACAGACCAGGGGTTGGAGACCCCTGATCTAAACTAACTTGCTGCTATACCAGATTATTATTGAATTCTGTCCATAGCTAGCTATTCAACTAGCTATCCAGTCAGCTTTCCTATATGGAATGAGGGAGAAAGGCATCACCTTGTCATTAACCTCAGCCAATAAAATGTCTTGGAGAGAGGCCCAGTGACCCAGATGAGAGGTGGCTGGTATGGCCCATCTGATAGGCAGCCCCAGGAGGTGGACCAGCACAGACCACCTGAGAGGTGGCCCAGTGACCCAGCCCAGCAGCCCAGAGGCTTGGAAATTCCAGGACAGGTGTTGAGGCAGCTGGAGGCCAGCTGAGGGGAGGTGGCATGGTGCAAACAGAAGCCAGCTGACCAGCAGTGGAACAGGAGACAGCAGACCAGTGGCTGAGAGCAGCGTGGCGGACTAGCTGAGCTGGGATGGCACAGAGCTAAGTGGCAATGGACTGGAGCGCCCAGAGCAGCACATCATACTCAAAAACACCAGCAGTGACCAGTGGCAACCAAAGAGCAAAAAGGCAGGGAGGAAAGGGGTAAGTATTGTATAAAACACTTCTAGACAGGGAAGAAAGGGATAATTTTCAAGTCAGGGAATAGAGGGCTAAGAACAAAGCATCTCCTAGAAAGCAGCCAGAGATTTCCTGAAAAAAGAAGTGCATATCAAAGGGCACATTTTTATATATTGCTACATTTTTAAAATAACTATTAGAATTTAATTTTTTTTAATTAGATTTTTTCTAAATCTGTGGTTAAATCTTTTACATTCTGAACATTTATAAACTTTTAAAATTTTAATCCTTAAATGAATTAGCAAAAAGAAATGTAGTCATGAAAAAAGAGATTGCACTGTTGTGAATTGTAACACATGTTCCATGTATATACTTATACCCATAGAAGACCCAAATTACACACATACCAAATGTAAACTAAATGAATTACAAGTAGTCCTCAACTTACAACAGTTCATTTAGTGACCATTCAAAGTGACATGACCATTTTTCACATTACCTCCATGGTCATGTGATCAAAATTTGAATCTTGAACTGTGGCTAGAAAGGTCGTAAAATGGGGCAAAACTCACTTAACAAATGTCTCACTTTATAAAAAAATTTGGGCTAAATTGTGGTCATAAGTCAAGGACTACCTGTACTAGAAGAGAAAGTAAAAGGTCTAGAGGCAACTCTAGTCACTCTGAAACTGCATCTACAAAAAGGGAAACACGAGTCTCCCTCAAGCCAGACAGTTGCACAGTTGTTTGGATCACCTGCCTCCCCCCAGCCTCTTTCTCTGCACTTGGACTTACCTGAGCTGCGCAGCCTGCAGCTGCTGCCAGACACCAATGGGCCCACACTGCTTGCCACCTCCTGTGCTGGCCACACCCATCCCCCCTGGCTTATTTTTGGGGTAGGGCTTATATTAGGCGCACCCTAAAAAAATCAGGCTAGAGCTTATTTTCTGGGTGGGTCTTATTTTCAGGGAAACACGATAGTACCACTTTATAAACCTTAGTAAGACCACACTTAGAATACTGCATCCAGTTTTGGTCACCATATTATAAAAAGATGTTGAGACTCTGCAAGAGAGCAGAAAAGAGCAACAAAGATGATCAGGGGAATGGGGGCTAAAATATATGAAGAATGGTTGCAGGTATTGGGTATTTCTATTCTAGTGAAAAGGGACTATGGGTGACATGATAGCAATGTTCCAATATTTGAGGGGGCTGCTACAAAGAAGAGGGGGTCAACCTATTTTCCAAAGTGCTAGAGGAAAAGACAA